CATTCTCTGTCAGTGTAACCACGGCCACAGATGAGTTCTCTGATTTCACGCAGGCAGATCACGTTCTTGGTTTCTCAGTGGCACCTGAAAGAGGACTCTTTTTCCTATACAAGGCTGGCTGAAAGCCTTGCTTTGTCTATTTCTCCCATGCCCAGACCAGTGTCTTAGACATTACCAATGAGAGGAGAAACCAGTGCCAGGAAAAAAAAAAAAAAAAAAAAAAAAATGAGTAAAAGCCACACTCCCAGAACAGGTTTAGTTATATCCACAAGATCCGCCCCCCCCTCCCCCATCCCCACCCGCCAAAAACACACACCAACCAAAACAAACCAAAAGGCCGAATCAGAGTAGCAGCACGTCTTCCTTCTTGGCAGGGCTGTGCATTTTCCTGTCATGACCAGTCTTGGGGGAAGGGTGAGAAGGATGAGGTGAAGACTACTAGCTGTCCATGAAAATCCGTTAGTTCCTTCCATAGTAATGGAGATTTGGCTGGAACATGACTGCCCAGATTGGAGCCTCATTCGCAGCCAGTTGTAGCCATGTTACTAAACTCTCTCATTAATGGGTGTGGGCAGGAGGCTTTATGCAGCTTTTGCTTTGCTTGTTTAAGAGTAAATCTCTGGTGTTGAACTTCTGTTCTTTTTCTCTCCTCACTAATTAGAAAAGCTTACACTGCCCAGCTGGTTTGGCTCAGTGGATAGAGCATCGGCCTGCAGATTGAAGGGTTCTGGGTTCGATTCTGATCAAGGGCACATGCCCAGGTTGTGGGCTCGATCCCTAGTGGGGGGAGTGCAGGAGGCGGCTGATCAATGATTCTCTCTCATCATTGATGCTTCTATCTTTCTCTTCCTCTCTGAAATCAATAGAAATATAAGAAGAAAAAAAAAAGAAAGAAATGCTTACACTATAGTAAATTTGGAAGCTACATGTTGAGGACAGTAATCATTATTCTGAGTCCCTTTGTCTTGTCATTTTTAAAAATAATTAATTAATTAATTAATTTTTTGGTGTGTGCCTCTTGTCTCTTAAACCAGAAGGAACTCTCAAGATGTGACACTCCTGCTTCTGCTCGTTTTCCCCAAAGCACAGTTGTAGTGCATGGTGACAGCCCCACGCAGACCCATTTCCCCAGCTGCTGTGAGTTTTGGTTGCCATCAGCTCAGAGATGCCCCTTCTCCAAAGACTTGGCCTCAGTGAGCCTCCTAGAGCCCTAGAGCAGTGGTAGGCAAACTGTGACTTGAGAGCCATATGCGGCTCTTTGGCCCCTTGAGATTTTAGCAAAGGCCAGCTTAGGAGTACCTTAATTAAATTAAAAACAATGTACCTACCTATATAGTTTAAGTTTAACAAATTTGGCTCTCAAAAGAAATTTCAATCGTTGTCCTGTTGATATTTGGTTCTGTTGACTAATGAGTTTGCTGACCACTGCCCTAGGAGGTTAATGGCTTCCTCTGGTGGGCAGCAGCCAATGATGACTGACATGGGGTAGAAGAAGATAGTCACAAAAGGTGGGGCCAGTTCTGTGATGGAAATTGAGCTTTAGAACCTTCCTGAAGAACCAGGCTGTTGTTAATCTCCAGTCAGGACAACTTCCTTGCTTAGCTTTCACCCACTGCTCTAGCCTGCACTCGCTCACAGGTTCTACCCTTCTCCAGAAAACCACCCCCAGTTAATGGAACCTTCTCACAACTCTCCGCTTGTCCTTACTCCCTACATGGATGGGCCTCAACCAATGACTGACTGATATGGGGGCATCAAAGGTCGGCCCCCTTAACTCAAGGGGGTGTAATCCTGTCATGTGATTTATGCCCCAGCCAGGTTTAGCAGTTCCCTGTCCATCAGGCCAGGGCTAGTCATAACCTGAGACACACCTTGTTTGGCTTTCTCCCTTTCCTTTCTACCTCACTCTCTCCCCTGCAGGTTTTCCTTGAAAAGTGCTCCCTCAATAAATGCCTATCTCAGTCTCTGCTTCCAACTTGTCTACCTGTGCCAATACTCTGCCTTTGTTTCCCCAAATCACTTTCCCATTCGTTTCTGGGACAGTTCAGGTCCACGCTCTGGGCTGGGTGTGCCAATGTGTAGATACTGGGTTGAAGGTACTGAAGGGGCAGGATGAAGAACAAGTGGGTTTTATTGAAGTAATTGTAAGGAATCTACTAAATAGGATTGTTACGAAGGTTTTAAAAGTTAAGCGAGTTAATGTGTGTGAAATGTTTAGATCACTGTCTAACAGGTAGAAAAATGCTCTTATCTATTGGGTGGAAGTTTCTTTGATCTTTTTTCCTTACTTATGTATCCCGTGTGTGCCTAAATGAGCGCTTGGCACATAGCAGGCATTCAGTATCTTATCTGTTGAATGAGTGATTACTGAAATTTGGCTTTGAGGGCTCAAAGTGATTTGCTGGATCTGGCCAGCAGAGGGCAGACCGAGTGCAGACAAAAGAGCCTGTGGGCTGAGGGAAGAATGGGATAGCACTCCCAGACAATTGGAATAGAGGGCGGGAGGGCTGAGGGGACTAGCTATATCATAGACTATTAGAGTGTTTACATTATACCACCTTAAAATCCTAGAATTTTATTTGGTCCAACCCTGGGAGTGTGAGATATATTGAGCCCCTATTTTGTGAGTTCAGACAAGTAAGGAGTTTTAGGACAGGAGATCCCTGGAGTTGCCCTACTGTCTGCAGCCTCTCTTTGAACTTATGACTACCCCCTAACTCCTCTTAATATATCCTCCTTTGTGATTTTGCTAATATATATTGGGTTTCTGCAACCTTCAAGAGACTTTGTATTATTTTATTAATTAAGCTCTGTGAGTATAAAGACTGTGAGAAGGGGAGTCTCCTCCCTGGATGGGGACACTGAAATTCAGAGCAGCCACACTGGGCCTGCTTTCTCTCTTCAGAGGTGGTCTTGCCCCATTTCTGTCTCCAAGCTCCCCTTGTCTTATTCCCTTCACTCACTCTGCCCTATCTTTCAAAGCCTAGTTCAAATTCTACCTTTCTCTGACTCCTAGAGCTACTCAATTTCATTTTTCAAAACTCTTTAAGCATCTATCACCTGCCCATTCATTCTTACTCTTGACTGCCTTTCCATACTTTATTGGGATTTGGGTCTGGGTGGTCTTTAAAGTCCCATCCAGCTGCAGACTTTGAGTCTGTTGTTTTCCCATCTGCCATATCTTCTCCAGCAGGTCTCCTCCTTGTCCCTCAAGAAGAGATAAGGAAAGGTTTGAGCACATATGGGTTTAGCACAGATTTTTTTCAGGGAGTGAACATAATTGCTCAAGGCAGCAACATGTTCTGTGATCCTCCATGCAAGAAACACATAGGCATTAATATACATGCATATATGCATAGCCCGTGGACACTGACAACAATGTGGTGAAGGGTGTGGTGAAGGGTGGAGAGGGAGAAAGAGGGCAAAATAGGGGTATCTGTAATAATGTCAACAATAAAGAAGAGAAACACATAGGCATTTATTTTTACTTTTTCAAAATAGAAGGAGCCCCTCCCCCTTATTATACAAGTAACACACTTATAACCAAATAAAACAAATAGTACATAACATTTTAAAGTAGAAAGGGAACATCACCCATAATCCTTCTCCTCAAAGAAAACTGATATCAAAATAGTCTTTCAGGTTTTTGCTATACATGAAAGCATATGCTTCAGTAGGGCCTTTTGGAGACCTCCCATCGAGATTTCTTAAACAGAAATCAAACCAAACAGTGGGAAGTTCTAGCCTGTGGTTTGTAGCTTGTAAAGTACCCACCTGCTGATATCTGGCTGTTTTTGGCTCACAAACACAGCAGTTTTATATGGTTCAACTTACTGTACATGAAGCCTAGAATGTCAGAGTGGTAAAGCTCTTAGAGACTTTCAAGTCTAACAGTTTCATTGTGCTTTAGGGGAGAAAGGATCAGAGAGAGAAGAGTCCAGACAGTGTCACATGTCACATTAGTGGTAGAATCATGGCTGGCTCTCTTTCCACTGAACCAGGTACTGGCCTTGCACACCCTGCTGCTTTTAATAGAATAGCTGTCCAGGTATGATGATAATCTTGTAGAAGCAGATTTCAGCTTGATATCAGAAAATTTCCCACATAACTTAATCAAAATGGAAGAGGCTGTATTAGAGGTCGTGAAATCTCAATGCTGGAGCTGTGGCTGGGAAGGGCACCCCAAGACATGGCTGGAGAGTCACATGAACCATGGAGCTAATGAAGCTTAATATTCAGAGCCTTGTACACACATGGCTTCTTAGGTCTTAGGAGGGGTCCTAGGAATGTATTTACATCCTATATAATAAAAGGCTAATATGCAAATCTACCGAACAGCAGAACGACTGGTCTCTGTGACACACACTGATCACCAGGGGGCAGAGGCTCAATATAAGAGCTGCCCTCTGGTGATCGGTGCCCTTCCACAGGGGGAGCGCTGCTCATCCAGAAGCTGGGCTCGTGGCTGGTGAACGCAGCAGTGGTGGCAGGACCCTCTTCCCCTCTGTGGTAAGGCTAAGGATGTCCGACTGCCGACTTAGGCTGGCTTCCATGGGGCGTGGGCTTAAGCTGTCAGTTAGACATTCCCTGATGGCTCCTGGACTGCGAGAGGGCATGAATTTCATGCGCTGGGCTTCTAGTGGTAATATACCTTTGTAATAATTGCATAAGTAGGATATTTTTTAATTCTTTTTAAGGAGGGCCCCCAGAATCGTGTGACTTTAGGCTTTGATCCACTCCTGTGCAGGACAGTGCTTTGAGAAGCACTGGGCAAGGAGATCAGAGTTTCTGACTTCCACTCATGGCGCTGCTCTGGCCCAAATGGACAGCATGGCACTTGCCCTGCTTCCCTCACAGGGGGGTAAAATCACAAATGTTAAATGGGTTCAAAAACATAAAATGGGAACAAAAATAAGTAAATAACATTGCACTACCTGTAATATGGGATAATAATCGCTGCTTCTCATGGTCACTGAAGATAACACACACACAAATGTATCCTCAGTACATCTTGTTTTATTTCCCTCTGCTGCAACTTCCTTTTCTCCTTCCTCAGGTCCAAGCCCCCAGTCCCCCATACTCCAGCCACAGGACCAGTCATTGGTTATTATCTTTTGCTACTTCTATATGATTGTTCATAGTTCCCACTGCCTATCTACTCTATCTTTGATGGAAAGAAGTCCTGTTCCACAAGGCCCCTCTCCTCCCAGCCCAATGATGGCATCCCCTAGCACTGTTTCTTGTTGATCTTACAGAAAGGAACAGAGGCCCGATGTGATCCATGGCTGAGTTCTGGAGGCCCTAGAAGACAATCCTAAAGATCAAAGCTATCTTGATCTTTAGCCACCCCAGTTCCTACCATCAGATCATAGACACGCGGTTCTTGATGTACATGTGGTAGGGGTCACTGCGCTTGTCCACTTTGCGGGAGCGGGTGTATCCCAGGATGAGACTGCCCACAGTGGCAGCAAACAGGAACATGACAAAGAGAATATACATGTAGGAGTTGTCATGGCGGCCAGGAAGGTTAGCCCGCTGCTCCTCCGTCAGGTTGTCTGGCCCTGTCCGGCACAGCAAGTTGCTGTGAAGAGTGGCATTTAGAGCCTTCAGGACAGCATGCAGACTGTGATACCAGGGCTCAGTCCCATTGGTGGTCTCCATAGCAACAGGGATTTAGGTGCGGATGACTTGGAGGACACTCTGGTGGCAACAGAAAGAGGAAGGATAGTTTCCATTACCTGCAGCTTGACTGATCTCACTCCTTCAGATCCAGCTAAAATCGCAACATCACAGTTTATTCTACTTGTTTACTTGTCTGTTTCACCAGTAGACTGCAAGCTCCATGAAGGCAGGGACTATGTTTTACTCACTGCTATACACAAGCCCTCATGACAGCACTCAATAGATGCTCAGTAAGTACCTGTGGAATAAAGCCTTCCTTGGCCATTGTAACCCATCTGTCTTTTTATTTTATTTTTTATTCTGTAAGTCACTGAGCTTTAGCCTAGAAGAAATTTAGGGGATATTTAATCTAAACCCATCATACATATATACAGGGAAACAGAGCATAAGTGGCTTGACCATGATCCCAGAGAATATTCAGAGGCAGAGTTTAGACAGAGTCCTGTTTTTTGATGGCTAGTTCAGAGTTTCTCGACTCTCATGCCAGCTCTTGGCAGGATCATGTGGCATTATTGGAAGTATTCTCCAGGACTCTCCTTCAGCACCATTCTTTTTTTTTTTTTTTAAATATATTTTATTGATTTTTTTACAGAGAGGAGGAGAGAGGGATAGAGAGCTAGAAACATCGATGAGAGAGAAACATCGACCAGCTGCCTCTTGCACACCCCCTACCAGGGATGTGCCCGCAACCAATGTACATGCCCTTGACCGGAATCGAACCTGGGACCTTTCAGTCCGCAGACCAACGCTCTACCACTGAGCCAAACCAGTTTCGGCCAGCACCATTCTTTTTTATACCTCACGGGTACCACTGAGATGTTTGGAGATGGCTTAGATTTCACCTTACCTAGAACCCAAAGCTAGGTCATTTGACCTCTCAAGCATCCTATGCCCCAAGCACTCTGGGTATTCCTGCCTATTTAGGATTTTGCTGAGAAGGATTCTGTAGGAAATTGTACTGGAAAGGAATGGCTGGGGAAGCAGGGAGAGACTGATAACCCCTGCAGGCACTAGAGAAGAGAACAGGGATGGGCTGGAGGATGGGGAGTGACAGGGGCACTAGGTCTGGTTTGGGGTTTTACCTGCCCCCCAAGAGAGAAGACACAGCACCTCAACTATCCTGCCTTCTGACACAGTCACGGCATATCTGGCATATGATAGGTGATGCTAAATGTTCCTTTTCCTTCTTGTGGAGACCCTTAGTCTATAATATAGAAAACCATCCTAGCCTTGTGTCCTAATCTCTAAAAACCATGTCATTCCCTTTAAACAAGGCTCTACACCCACTTCCTTCTGGAAACCTTCACTGAGTATTCCCTACCCCTTAACCATACTCCACAAGCTTTATCATCACAGCCTTCCCTTGGCCCAGCACTTACACATAAGGCTTTGTGTGGCTGTTCTCTTGTTATTGATCAGCAGACCACATGCTCTTGGCCAGCAGAGCTGTGTTCCTCCCCTACATCTATAGGGCTATCCTGAGATTGGCTGGGAATTCTCCTTCCCTGGTGCTCTAACCTGAGACTGGCTGGGTGTTCTCTATTCCTCAATAGTCTTGAGTAAATATGGCAACCAGAAAAGACTGGTTCTAAAGCCCTCCTTTATCTAGGTAGAGCTGTCAACCAATCAAAGATAACAAACTTGATTATTAACTATAAGGTCTTTTTCCCAGATGACAGAAGATTACGGTTAGTTATGACTATGATAAAATTCATAAACAACTCTAAGAATGCAGAAGTTGGGGGGTGGGGAAAGAATCTAAATAATACAGTCCAGGACTGGCCCACATTTCCTACAAGGCCTTTGGGGCCCCATGCTATATGGCACTTGGGCTACCTTATCTGGATGGAGAAGGGGAAAAGAACAAGGGCTTGCTGAGTTAAGACCCGGGAGGCGTAAATTCTCATCTACTACCCCTCTTGTCAGGCAACAAATCTGTGCCTTTTCCCCTCATAGAGGCCAATGGAAATCAGGAACAGCACAAGGAAATTAATGGCTCAACCAGTGATTCAACCAGTCATCATTTATGAGGGCTCATTCTTGGGTAAGCTCAGACCCAGCCCCTGTACTGTGGGCACATTGCCAGCTCTTCTATAATAACAGGGGACAAGCCAGCTTCTACAGGGGCTTAAAAAAGAAGAGATGGATTTTTATCAGGACTCAGAAAGTATTCACAGTGATGGAGGCATTCCAGTGGACCTTGAAGGTTTTCCAGGAAGCAGAAAAGGTAAGAAAAGGAAACAGATGAACAAAGGCATGACAACAAGCAAGCACATAAAATGTTTAAAGGAATGGAAAGGAGCATTAGGAGGTTAAGGTGTAAGATGTATGGAGGGCTATGATAGATGTGGGATGGAGATACTGGTTGAACCTGATCATGGAAGGTCTGGAGTGCCAAACTGCAGATGTAGAACTTTATGTATAGTTGGGGGAGAGCCATGAAACAGTGTTTAAAAGGGGGGTGCAAGGACCAGATCTGTGCTTGGATAGGACACTCTGGCTGCTATGTGAACTGAATTGAGGGCAAGATTTAAGGCAGAAAACCCAGTGACAAGGGTCCTTTGGAAGACTCACCAAATACCAGGCAAATTCCTCTGGTTCCGAGTTGGCTTCAGGAATCTCCTTCTGAGCACCCTAAGCCTCCTCAGCGCCTCAGCCTCTCTAGGATGTCTCTGGACACATTTGTGGTCTCAGTATTCGCTTCGGGAGTTGGGAGGCCCAGAACTGGAAAGCAGGAGAGGGGGCAGGAAAGGAAGGAAGCAGACAAAGAAAAACTTTCAGAACCTGGGTGGATCATCCAAGGCTGGGCCCCAAGGGTTGTGCAATAGCCTTGCTGTGGGCTTTGACCCCCCTTTCTCTCCTCCTCTTCCTGCAGCAGCTGGGCCAAGCCAGACTAGGAACTGTACGGTGGCCAAGGGACATCTGATTGCTGTTCCCCAACTCCAGGCCCACAATATTTCAATTGGGTGACTTCAATGAAGAACCTCAGTTTAACATGTGAACTACTCAGGGACCAGCCTAAAACATTCCCTTTCTCCAGGGTATGGTGTCTTGGCGGGAGCCTCTGAAAGGCTGAAAGGGCTGGAGAGCCAAGGGAATGATACAAGTGGTAGAATGGCAGTTGGTAGTTGAGTTGATATTTTACATAGAAACAAAGGATATTCACAATAGCTTATTTGGATATACTGGCTATAAGCATGGCAACAGCATCAACACTACCTGTAGCATAGCTCACTGTGAAAATTAAAGAAGAAAACTACTTAGTGTCTGGCACCAGATGCTCCACAGACATGGTGGTAGTTTTATTTTTGTGGAACAAAGGTTGGCAGGGCCCTCAGAGTCCATCCAGTCTAACTTCCCTCGTTTTACAGGGAAGGAAATGGAAACCCAAGGAGCTGTCTTGGTTCAGCTATTACGTGTGTGACTTTGGGCATGTGACTTCCCTTTTCTGGGCCCCAAGCTTCTGTCTGCATTTATAAATTGAAGGGGGTTTATTATACGTTCTGGCCAGCTCTAATATCCCAAGAGGGTACAAATCACAAAACCGATCAGATAGGCTGGTGGGAAAAGCATTTAGGGGACTTTGTAGAGCCTCTCAAATCATAAGATAGAGAAGGCTGCAGACTTTTTCCTCACAAGTTAACATTCTGAGCCCTAGGACCAAGTTATACTTGCTACTCCAGCCTAGAAAAACTGAGAACCAAATTGCTTGACTTATTCATTTTTCCTCTTAACAGGAGGAGACAGAGTCTATGCAGAAAGTGGGGATAGGGGAATAGGATAGGCTCTGAGGTGAGATTCAGTGAGAGGACTTCCCTGTGTAGACCTGGATGCTTGTAGTCTGATGGGAAAAGAAAAGAAGCCACAGTTACTGATTTTTCTGTGCTGCATTGGGGTGGGAGAGAGGGGCTGGGTGTAAGGACATCCTGTCCTTTGGGTCAGGAGAGGCAGAGAGCTGATAAAGGGACAGGTTGGTTCTTTTTGACCTGCCTCTGGGTCCCAGGTTGGTGATCTGGCAGTTGGCAACATTTGGAGTTTTGTTCCTCTTTATGAGCTCCTTGCCTCCAAGATAGTCACTGATTATGAAGTTTATAATGATAAGGTAGATAGCTATTACCCTGCAGAGTCTTTAACTTAAAATAGGAGATAAGCCAGTTAGGAAGGAACTGACCAAGCTGAAAGAGATTTTAAAGATCATGTAGCCCTGGCTGGTGTTGCTAAGTGGTTAGAGCATCAGCCCACACATCCAAGGATCATGGGTTCAATTTAGAATAAAGGGCATGAACCTGGGTTGCAGGTTTGATCCCTGGGGCACATGCAGGGGACAATCAATTAATGTGTCTCTCTCACATCAATGTTTCTCTCTCTCTTTCCCCCATTCTTTCTCCATCCCTCCCTTCCATTCTCTCTAAAAAAAATCAAAGGGGGGCCCTAGCCTGTTTGGCTCAATGGATAGAGCATCGATTCCGGTCAAGGGCATATGCCCAGGTTGTGGGCTTGATCCCCAGTAGGGGGTGTGCAGGAGGCAGCCAATCAATGATTCTCTCTCATCATGGATGTTTCTATCTCTCCCTTCCTCTCCCTTAATCTATGAAATCAATAAAAATATAAAATAAAATAAAAAGCAAAGGGGGAAAAATCCTTGGGTGAGGATTAACAACAACAACCAAAAGATCATTCAGTATCTAGATTCTAGGCCAACCCATGCATTTTGTAGGGGGGAAACTGAAGCTCAGTAGGTAAAGTGACCCATGGAATGCTGTTCGGTGCTCTTTTTTGCTACTAATGACAGCATTCCTTGACATCTGAGCTGCATATCACACCAAACACAGCCTGCTTATGTTCTAGGCATCATCTCCTCTAACTCCATGACCACAGATTCCAGCCCATCTTAATTGAGGATCCAGTAAGGAGGCAAAGGTGGTAAGTTTTGGAGGAGTTAACCTTCCTTTGCAGGCGTCCTCAAACTTTTTAAAGTGGGGGCCAGATCATGGTCCCTCAGAGAGCTGGAGGGCCGGACTATATGAACTACTAATTCCTACTGTAACACCTCGGCTGCGCTCACTGCCCAAAAAACCTGGCGGGCCGGATCAGACTCCTCTGCGGGCCGCATGTGGCCCGCGGGCCGTAGTTTGAAGACGCCTGCTTTAGAGTCTCCTCTCTCATGGCCCTTTCTGCTCCAATCCTACTCCTGGTCCCTGAACAAGCCAGACACACTTTCTTCCTCCACAGACTTTATTTCCTGCACATTATCAGTTTATTCCCTAAATATTCTGTAGTTGAACTCACCCGACCTCTAACTTGGAGGTGGAGGCATACAGCTGTGATCTAAAGGATTAAGTGGGTATCTTAGTGACATTTTCTTTCAGATTTTTCTGGGGGAAAGTGAACCACTACCATTGTTTTTTTTTGTTTTGTTTTGTTTACCCATTGCTCTGTTTCAGCTACTCTTTTTTAAAAATATTTTTATTGAGCCGAAACCAGTTTGGCTCAGTGGTAGAGCGTCGGTCTGCGGACTGAAAGGTCCCAGGTTCGATTCCGGTCAAGGGCATGTACATTGGTTGCGGGCACATCCCTGGTAGGGGGTGTGCAAGAGGCAGCTGGTCGATGTTTCTCTCTCATCGATGTTTCTAGCTCTCTATCCCTCTCTCCTCCTCTCTGTAAAAAAATCAATAAAGTATATTAAAAAAAAAAAGAGGGAAAAATATTTTTATTGATTTCAGAGAGGAAGGGAGAGGGGGAGAGAGATAGAAACATCAATGGTGAGAGAGATTCATTGATTGGTTGCCTCCTGCATGCCCCTTCTGGGTATCGAGCCCACAACCTAGGCATGTACCCTGACTGGGAATTGAACTCAGGACCTCTTGGTCCATGGGACAATGCTCAACCCACTGAGCCACCATAGCTGGGCTTAACTACTCTTAAAAATGAGTGTCTTTAGTGCCTGGAAATGTGATAGAGGCAGAGTGTAGGGAATACAGAGATAACTCCTGGGATGCACAGTTTTTCCACTGGTCCTTCTGGAGATTTTGTCACCACCGTGGATTAGGGAGCCAATGGATGAGAGAAGAGTTGCAGGAATGGATCTTGTCATATAGTTGGAAGGAGATGCAGGAATAAAATCTGAACTAGAAGGGATCTTAAAAATCATGTCATTGTTGCAACCCCCTCATTCAACCAGTGTGAAGGGGGCTCCCCAGAGAGGAAATCACTTAATGTCTCATAACTTAGGAGGGGTGGAGCTGGGACCAGAAATAGTATCCAGTCCACAAATCTTTCCACTATAAGTTCTTTGTTATCTAAAGAACAGTCTAATCTTCTCTAATTACCATTTAAGTTTCTTTGAATGTGACCCTGTCTCTAGTCCCATCTTACCACAGCTTTCCCCAGTGTCCTGTAGCCCATGGTACTGAGCTACGGGCCATTCTCAAAACATGCCCTGCACTTGTACACCACTCTCCTTTGCTCATGCTGTTTTCATAGGCAGGAATGCCCTTCCTCTTTTTAGCTACACAGTGAACAATATCCTTTAAGAGATAGCTCCAATGTCATCTCTGTAAACTCTCTCCTGAAACACCCATTCCTATTCTCTAGCTAGTTATTCAGTCCTTCTTGTTCGTTCCTAACCCTATTAGAGCATTATGCTGTACTGAAATTATATGTCTGAGTATCTGTGTAGAATCTATCTATTCATGGTGAGGTATGAGGACAGGTACCTATCATACATTTCTTTTCTTTTTTAATTTTAAATTTTTATTGACTTTAGAGAGAGAAAGGGAAGGAGAGAGAGAGAGAGAGAGAGAGAGAGAGAGAGAGAGAGAGAGAGAGAGAGATTGAGAGAGCAACATAGACCAGCTGCTTCCTACATGCATCCAGACAGACCAGGGATTGAACCCACAACCCGGGTATGCGCCTGACAGAGAATCAAACTGCCACCTTTCGGTGGACGCTCCAACCAACTTAGCCACAGGGACCAGGGCTGTCATACATTTCTTTATTCCCTGGGCTTGAGCACATAGCAGGCACTGAAGAATAAATTAATCAATGCCTTTTCTTTTTAGACCACCCCTCTCCAGTACACCCATGCACATTCATGCAAACAGCTTACATTCCTTAAGAAACAACTTCAAGGGCAGGCCAAAACAGATTCCATTTGGTCTGGAAAAGGGGAGGCTCAAAGGAAAGAAATCGTATCAGTCTGGTGGGGAAGTGAGTCAGGGCTTTGAAACCCAGACATTCCCTGACCTGAACCCCATTCAATCCAAAGGGCAAACATTCTTGGCCCCAAAACACCGGCGTGGCTTTGTAACCCTCTCTCCCATGTACCTACCCAGGGTGTGGCCATACACACACACCCACTGCGCTCACGCAACTCTCAGTCACTCAGCCGGTGATCTTGGCTTTCAAGTGTTCCTTTCATGGTCCTAATCTTGGCTTCATGCCTGGCTAAGTGACCTTGAGCACTGCACTTAGGTTCTCTGAAACTCATCTAAGGGATGGGGATAATTACCCCTGATTACCTCCCATGGGAACTCGGGGAGGCATTAGTGGGGAAGGTGTTTTAGAAAGTGCAAAGTATTATTTAAACATAAGAGATAATGATTGGGCAGTCCGGTCACCCTGTTTCTTTACCCACCCAGCTACCCCAGTATTACCACGAACAGCCATCCCCGCGTCCTCTATGAACCCAGAGGTTCATATTATTCCCCTTGGTTCTTCAGAAGCCTTCCTTGTTTCTCATCCTCTCTGATCAGTCCTGTAGTCTCTTTCCATTTAGGGATACTATTCTTACAGTCCTGCCACTGATGGAGAACACACTAGAGTGGGAATCAAAAGACCTGTCCCTGTTTGCCAATGTGTCTAGCCGTGTGTCCTGGTTAAGTCGCTTCTCCACTCTGGGCCTCATTTCCCCCATCAGCAAGAGTAGGTTTCTCGTGTTGCCTAACTCTTGGAAGGTATTTTGAGCATCTACCCATTCAGTGTGGATAGAACTGTGTCCTGAGAAGTGTGGAGTGAGTGAGGATGAAGAAGGTTGTTGGTTATTGTCTCAAGGCATCAAGAAAATGCAAAAGCAGTTTCCATGGTGCCAGCATCAGGCCCCTTCCATTTGGAGAAGAGCAGCTGGGTGCCAGGAGGAGCTGACACATTTACAAGGCACCCGCGTAGGTGAGTGGAGAAAGCCCTGGCAGAGGAGTGCGGAGACGGGTTCTTTCTGTCCCCTGGTGTGACCCTGGGCCAGTCATCTCCCCCTGGGCCTCGGTTTCCACATAGAAAATTGGTGAGGAATAGGTTGTGAGAAGGAGATACTCTACATGGGCCATCACACAGGGTCTGAACTCATCATCTCCCTTCTAATAGAAAAGGGAGTCCTAGGTCTAGACCCCTAACCCCTCATGTCACATGGAGTGCCTGGGCAGCTGGGCCGGGAAGTCCATTTTATGGGTGGTGACCCAGGGAAAGAAAGCACAAGGCGCAGACCAGGTGAGCGACTGGCACAGATTTAAAACCCATAAACTAGAACTTGGCTCCGGACTCCCAGCCTAGACCTATGTTATTAGCAGCAGGAGACGCTTTGGGGGAACCTGCGGGCATTTCCCAGGACTGGGGCGCATATAGGGAGTAGCCAGGAGGCACATCAACTCTTGCAGAGCAAGCGGCTCCGACCAAACAAGAAGGCCACTCGGAGTCCTGGAGTGCCGTTTCCCCGGGGCTCTCTCTGCTGGCCTGCAGGTGTTCGCTTGCAAATCTGTGAATGTGGGAGAAGCCTTCTGCGCCCTCCACAGGCACCTCACGGTGTCTGGGCGGGGAGAGCCAGGAGCCCAGCTCAGCACTCCCACTTGCGCCCGGGAACCCCGCTGCGCTGTCCTGGGGCGCTTCAGCCTAGATTCTGAGCCGACCCCCCTCCTTGGCTCCATGGTCTCAAGAGAGAAGATACCTCATTTCTACTCCCCTTCTCCCAAACCCCCGCGCCAGCTCAGCCTTCCCAGCCCTGCGGGTGCGCTTTACCTGTCTCTCCCGAAGGGTCCAAGGCTCCGGAGGGGCGTGGGCCGGCTTGTGGGACACGGCGCCCTGTGCTGGAGGCTGCGCCGCTCTGCACCCTTCGTTCTGATGGCCCTCCTGTGTGCAGCCCCCGCCCAACACCGCCCCGAGCCCCCTCGGCTTTGCTAACCGACCCGCACTTGGCTCCCTTTTTACTTCCTTAGGGCGTCCCCTCCTCCGGCCCCGCCCGCCCCCCTGCACACCCCCTTCTCCCCGCGCTGGCTTCGGGCGCCTCCGCCCAGCTGCATGGCCTCACCCCACTGTGGGCGCCTACCCTTCCGTCCCCCGCAGCGCTGCTTCCTGGACCCGCAGCGGAAAGCCTCCCGCTTCGCTGAGCTCGCCCAGCCTGAGGCCAGTCTCCAGAAAACGGAGCTGAACACTGGGTGCTGGTGTTAGCAGGCTTTGCTCCTCGTGGCTGCGTGGTGGTGGGCAAGTCACTGTTTCTCACGGAGTCTTGGCTTCCTTGCCATTGAATAGCTACAATACTGCATGCATGCTTCACAGGGTGGTGGTTAGGGTCAGATGAGATCTTAGAATCCAAAGTATTAAAGCCAAAAGGTCACTGATTCTAACATAGAGGCCCAGTTGGGGAGACAATGGCCCAGGTTCACCAAGAAAGTTGTGGCAGCACTTAGACTCAGAGTCCAGGACAGCACTCTCTCCCTCTTTCTCCCCAACTGATGTCTCCTTCCTCCAAGACTCAGTGACTCCTCTCAGTCCAGACAACTGGTGTCCAGCCACACACTTCACTGGTCCCTGACTCAGAGCACCCTTCACTTTCTGGCCACCAGGCTCACTCAAACAATGTCTGGTGGTGACTCTGCAGGCTCCAGAAAAGAGAAGCAGCTAGGAACAGCTGGGAAATGGGACACCGGGGGGCACCACCGCAGAGGAGTGGACAGTGGCTGGGAACAGCCTCTCCGGGACTCTGTGGGAGTCCTTATCAGTTTCCTCTTTATCAGCCTATGGCCTTGGAATAATTAATAACAAACAGGCCAGCTCTTGCTCCCTTGCAAAGACCTGTTCTGGGACATCTAAGGCACATATCCTCAATCACAGAATCACAGACTACATCTAGGAAGTGCTATCATTTTAGAAAGACCTTCCACATGGAGGGCGTGTTGAATCTTCATCAAAACATGTTACTTCCGTTTCGTCTCTGTGTATTTTGACCCAGCTACAACTTTAAGTCTGGAAATCACCGCTCAGAGGGAAGTCCTCTTGAGCCTGGTCTCAAATTTCATTCTGCCTAAAACTCACCTTGGAGCTTATTTTAGGAAATTAGACTTTTGGGTTCTACTCCAGAGGCTCTGATTTGGAATGTAGCCCAGAAATTAACTTTTTTTTTTTTTTCTTTTCTTTAAGATGCCCAAATGATTCTGGTGCAAAGTGGTTCTTGAGAACAGTTCTGAGGAAACAGCCCTGGCTCAGTTAGGATTCCTTGCCACATCCTGCTCAGGGCCTTCGGTTTACTCCATAGGAATATTTATTATAGTTATCAAAAGTAACTATTTTCCCACCTCATCTGGTAGGTTGTGAATTCTTTTAATATAGGGATTATCTCTTGTTCTAATAAAATACTAGTATTAGAATCCTAATCTTAGACTCACACATCTGAAGAGTTATAGAATTATTTAGTGATAGAACCTAGGTTGGAAGAACTTGGAGTTATCTAGTCAAATCCTTTCCTTAAGAATCCCCTCTATCCATTTTGATGTGAAATTGTGCAGTTCCTTTTGCACTCCTCTAGTGACAAGAATCTCATTGCCTCGGAGGCAGCTAAGGTTCTGATTATTAGGATAGTCTCTCATTGTGACAAAAACTGCCTCATATTGACTTCTACCTTTTGGTTCCTGTGCCTTTTGGAGACAATGTACATGCCTAATCTTTGTTCCTTCCCCTTTTCAGTTCTTCAGAAACTTAAAATATTCCCTACTTCTCCTTCTCTGGAGGGAGGATGGGGCAGGAACCCTCCCTGTTAGGGAAGGCAGCTGGCCAAGGGGTCACTGGAAAGTGACAGCTTCTGTTGTTATTAGATGACAAAAGCTAAGATGAAAAACACTTCCTGTCCGGAGGAGACCATAGTGAGAGAAGAACCTTCAGGAAATTCTCAAATTCAGGGCCTGACCTCAGGACAAGGAGGAGGAGGAGAGGTGGGGACTCATTGAAGGGGTCAGTGGAAGAGTCACCTAGAGATATAACTTCTTTAAGTCTTTGCTTTAGAGCCACCTTCTCTGTGCAGCCTTCCCTGACCATCCTATTTACAAATGCAAATCCTTCCCTTTTCTGTCCTCCCTAACCACCTTCCCTGCCATGTTATTCCATAACACCTAACATCATTTTATATATTCAATGTATTTCAAAACCTTTTGCTGTTGTTGCTCTTGCTGCATCCCTCAGCTGAAGCTCGCAAGTCCAGTCTGTCAGTCCAAGCTCAGTCCTCTGCTATTCTCGAACTCTGGATTCCTACAGCCACCCTCTTTTTCCTCCCTTTGAGGATTGGGGAGGTAATAATACCCAAATGTTTCAAGCCCCAGGGTACTTCACCACCCCTTCTGGTTGCCCTATTCTCTGCCCACCTTTTTGAATTCAGCCTCCTCCAAACACGTTGACATGAGATGGCCATTTGCCTCCTGGACCTGGCTGATAAGAGGCCCATTCTCCTATAGCCCCTTCTTGCTGTTCCCTTGACAACCACACTTACCATTCTGTTTGTTGACACCATACCTGGAACATAAGCTTCTTGAGGGCATTAAGCCAACACGAATCCAACACAGAGTAAATCTTACTGAGAAATTGTTGAATGAGTGTCATGAAAAAAAAGATCACTCAGGAAAGCTTCCAAGGAGAGAGAGATCTGAAAAAGCCTGAAAGGATAACAGGATGCTTTTGTAGGCTCTAGACCAGACCTCTCCTCTGAGCACTGGACTACCATATCTAGTTACATACTTTCCATCTCTGTTGGGATAATGTATTGGGGTTGAAACTCTTGACTTCCTTCCCTGGCTCCCCTCAGCCTTCTCTCAGTAAATAGAACCATCATCCATTCAGTTCTGATTTCTTCATAGATCTCCACGCAGTCATCTTTCTCTCTGTGTATGGATTTAGGGTCTGCCTTTGCCATTACACTGTAAGCACTGTGAGAACAAGGTGTGTCTTTTCACCATAGACTAACCCAATGTCTGTCTAGTAGGTTGGGGAGAATGATTGAGGTAGGGTGAGCATGGATGGTGTCCGTCAAGAGTCTCAGAAACTTGGGTCACTGGGGGAAATACAGCATGAATCACAGAGGAAGTTTAACGATCACATCAAGTTATTTTATTCCATTACTCATCAGGAGCCGCCGAGTTAGTGCTTCCGTGATCTTGTCTCCTGTTGGTCTGTCAGTTGTGACCCTCAGGACGCTTTGTCTTACCATTCTGTGCTTCACCCTTCTCCTGCCCTGCAGGCAGCACAGAACAGTGCAAAGAGCACTGGAGGAGGTGGGCCATGGGTGGGACGGTGTGGTGTCAGGGGATAAGATCTTGGTGACCTCTTCTCCTGAGGCTACATCTTTCTCACTTCACAATCACACATGCTGTGTCCTGGGAGGCAAGGTGACACAGTGGTCCAGAACACAGTCTCTTGGTTCTCACAGAGCTGTATTTGAATCCTAGCCCTGCCACTTATTGGCTGTGAGAGCTTAACCTCTCTGAGTCTTAGTTTCTTTATCTGTAGAATGGGATAAAAATACCTATGTTTTCTTTCTGGTTGTCTGGATTACAGAAGATATTATATGTAAAGTGCTTCACTTGGTGACTGGCACATAGCTGGTGCTCCGTAAAGAATAACTATTAATGAGGGCGTGTGTGTTCATGGTTATGTAAATATGGACTTTTGATTCTTATGGTTTGAACAATAAGGGCTCTGGGAATGCAGAAGAAATTGGAGTCAGAGAAGACTAGGGTTTGCAGAAGAAGTAAGTATTATCAGTCAGGAATCTTAGTTGCAACAGAAGAAAACCCAACTCAACCTGACTTAGGTAGAAAAACATTTATTGGCTCATGTAATTACAAAATCCAGAGGTATTGGCTTCCAACATGGCTGGATCCAGGAGCTCAAAGGGTGTCTGCAGGAAGTGGGTTTTTGTTGTTGTTGTTTGCTTGCTTGCTTTTTTTGTTTGTTTGTTTGTTTTGCATCTTTGGGCTTTGCTTTTCAGACTGTTGCTTCATTCTCAGGCAGGATTCCACTTTGTGGTGACAAAAATGGCTGAGTTCTAGGTATATTTTTTCTGTTAGTAAATCCAACAGAAAAAGCTTCTTTCCCCACAATCCTCCCAACAGTAGTCCTGGTCAGACTCTTGTCCTGAAATAGGCCCAGTGCCCGTCCCTGCACTAATCACAGAAGTCAGGGGGAAAAGATGGCAGGACACTGTCTCTATTCAAACCACATAAACTTGGGTCAGAGAAATGGGTGAAGGTGGCAAACCTTCCAGTTTAAAAAAAAAAAGGTCTGGGGAGATAATGTACAACACAGTGACCAGGTGACTGTAGTTAATGATACTGTGTTGCAAATTTGCAAGTTGCTAAGAGAGATCTTAAAAGTTCCATCACAAGGAAAAAAAAACTTTTTTGTGAGTCTATGGTGACGGATGTTAATTAGACTTATTGTGGTAATCACTTTGAAATATATAAAATGTCAAATCATTATGTTGTGCACCTGAAATTAACATAATGTTATATATCAATTACACCTCAATTAAAAACAAACAAACTCGAAATGGGTGGTGGGGGGCATGATTCCCGGAGGAAATTTGGGTGCTATTATAGAAACAGGGTGAGCACAGGCTGAAACAAGTACCCTCTAAGTGGGCCTTGGAAAACAGATGTGATTTGGGCAGACAGCAAGGAGGGAGGAAGACACCCCAGAGATTCCCTGCCAAGCGAAAGGGAGAAGAGGGGAATAATGTGCTGAGAGCAGGACTCACATCTCTGAGGCAGAGGGCGCAGGCTCGTTCTGTGCAGTCCTGGAGAGAAGGCCTGGGACCGAGTGGGCTTGGGGCTGGGGGAGTCACAGGATCCGTATCTCCGCTCACAGGCTGTCTCTGGCGGGAATGGGCTTCTTTGTCAGAGTGACCATCAGAGA